GAAATTAATTCTTGTCCTTATGTGACCTGCCATGTCTGCTATAGAAATCCAAAAGATCATAATTGTTTGATATGAAATGCAAAAAGAATAGTTAAATTGAAAGTTTAACATCATGAAATTCAAAATCCCAAGCGGTATATAAACATTAAAAGAAACTTTGGACGGCTAATCCTAGGAAATGAGTTTTATGGATTGAATTCAACAAGGCTTCAGAAATGGTTCCATCTGCTGCCTAGCAGCTGGTGAAAGGATAAATTTAATTCATTAATTCATTTGGAAAAAAGGATCCAAGTAGTAAAGACTTCATTGCTCATAATGCATATAGGTGAAAACACAGACTGAAATCCAGACCAATGGATCATCCTAGATAATGAGCTGCATTGTCCTTCCTTTTTCTGGTTAAGATCTTAGTGATTGAGTCAATACGGTGTTGATTTTTATGACAATAACCAATCATTTCCAATCATTTCAATGATTAAAAAAAAACTCAGGGAAATTTAAAGCAAATCTCAGTTTTTAATCTGAGGAACTCTAGGCATTAGAAATGATGCACTTCTCATTTTGTGTATGTGTATGTGGGAGGCAGTGTGTATACCTATGCTTACAATATATTCATACATATACATCTACACATACACACATTTATTATACATAAATTCTGAATCACGTCAAAGTTGTGTTTATATTAAGCATGTCTTTTTCTATTTGTTTAAGTATTCAAATAAGTATTTAGCACTTACTTATATTATAACATTAATATAAGTAAAGTTTTCAAGATTCATATTTCCCCAAAGGTTGCCAGGTTCAAAAAAACATTTATTTAATTTTCTCCTCTTTCCAGACTTCAGACTCGTTGCTTTGGTCTCTGTTTTTGGTCACACCCTGCAGAATGCTTCAAAATATTACAAAGTTGTCCGTGAGGTAGTCTTTCCCCAACTTCTCTGCCATGTTAATCATTTTGACATAAGGAGATAAAATCCACAAGACATGGAGAAAAGATTTCAGTGGCTGGATTGTAGAGGACCTTTTATGTCTTTACATGAAGATAATGGGGATTTAACAGCATTCTGAGTCTCGGACTGTTTAAATTCAATCCATGTGAGAAGGTGCTGGAAAAGTTGGTGTTGCCTCATCCTCTTTAGCTTATAACCACATTGGTGGATTTTCTTTTCACTGCTGGCATTTTAATGAGAGCCAGGCCTCCCTTAGAAATGTATAGCTCACCTTCTCCACAAGGTAAATGTCTCTTGCTGGCCAGTGAATTGATCTATGATAAAGATAAGAATACCCCTGAAAGCGAGGTTGCTTCAGTAGCCAGTATGCGTTTTAGCAATTTTTTTTTTGGATGGTGATTTCATGAATGGTGTTTTGACTTTTCTTTCTCTGCGGCCCACAGCTCACTGTGGTGGGTTTGTTGGATTTACTATAAAGGTTCTCTTTGCACCCTGTGGGTTGGGTTAAGAATCAGGGTTTATGCATTTACTTGTACTGTGGCATTGTTTATACAGCTTTGGTTTAGTTTTGATCTTTTTTTTTTTTTTTTTTTTTTTTGCCTTTGAGGCTCTTCCACAGTGTCAGCTGCTGACTGATAGTAGGAAAACGGCCTCGTGGTGTGAATGAAAGGGACCTAGCGGTTGGTAAACAGAGATAAGGAATAAATAGAGCACAGGCAAAAGGAGATAGTTCTGTGGGGGCCCAGATTGCTGCCAGTCTGTTCAAGGGAGATGCAGAGCCTGTCCTTTTCCCAGATTAAATTAGTGTGCGAAATCTCCAGTGACCTCCTCCCCTTCTCCCCACACTCTTTAGCCAAGCTGAACAGCCTCTGCTGTAAAGTATTCATTTTATCCAGGGACAAGCTGGACAATGGAACTCTCCCTGATACTTATGGACAGCTGTCGTCATTCATAGTGCTCTCAGCATTTCATTTTTCATAGGAGTTAAAAGGGTTTTTACCTTGTAACTGAAAGAGGGCATAAATGCAACTTTGCCAGGTCTGAGGCTGCTTGAGTAGGGGGTAGGACTCGGCGGGGGTGGGGGGGTGAGGGGGGTGAGGAACAAGGAAGGAGAAACTGCTCAAGACAGCAGTTATTTTCTGTTGTGCTAATATGATAAAAGTAAGACAGAAATTAAATTTCCAAATCTGGTCTCCTTGCTAAGAGAAAATAGCTTTGATCTGAAAGTTTCCTAAAATTAAGGTCACCGGTGCAAACCAGACAATTCGTCTCCACCTGCTTTACCCTTGTTTGGACTAAATATGCATGCATTTTATTACCTGCGAAGAACCACCAGAAAATATGAAGCCTGTAAGATACCTCTGTATTCCCATATATTTTTTTATTTTTTTAGTGATTTACTGCAAATATATTCAGCATTTGACTGATTAAATAGACCTTCGGCAACCTTGAGGGTCACTGTGTGGAGTATGTACATAGAAAATGCATCAGCCCATTGTACCCTGGCAGCTAATGAGATTGGTCGTTAAGTAAATGACACAAAGCCTACAAAAAAAGCTTAGCAGCTCACTAGAGTATCACAGAGTGTCCCTGCACACCACACAACGACACAAACACTGGACTAACGTAGCCCACCCCTGCTCTATTCTACATCACTGCTTCCCTGATGTCAGCGTGAGAGGCAGAACAAAGGCTAGGAGGCACCGGTAAGTCAGTCTGGCAATTAAGCCCTAGGGAGTAAGTACAACAGATCTCAGCCTAACCGTGGGGCTGAAAGTCCGTTTCTCGACAAGTAGGTCAGGATGAAGGGATTTTGCTCTCACTCTGGAAATGCCGCTTCAGTGATCAGTGTCCTTATTTTGTTGTTATCGTTGTTTGGTT